GGAATGGGGGCGTGCCTCCCTTGGGGGGGCGCCAAAGGTCGCAGAGGGGCTGCCAGGCCTCAGATGATTTGAGGTTAGACTTTTTTTTTTTTTTACATATAATTGTAACGCAATACATGATTNTGTCTCAACCAAGTTTCAGTGAGACAGCATATATCAATATTATAATCTGATATTAAATCATTTACCAATATTGCTTTAGATGCTAGAGATCTTATGTTTAAGAGACCACATTTAATCTTCCTGTTTTGTTGCACTGTAGTAGTTGTTACATTTACTTTTATTAGGTTATTATGTATGACACCTCTATAAGGTTTTACCTTAAATTGTCCTTGGGCAGACACACACACCGTTAATATTGGGTATTTTATTGGGTTCGGGATTCCTATGGATGACTGCCTAGGAGAGAGCGCAGAGAAGCGTGTAAGACTGCGACTCTGCCTCCTGGTCTCAACTCCAGTTTGTCATGGATTAAGTCAACAAAGCCCTGAAATGTTTGCCGAAATGAGATTTGCACCTTCCAAAGTAGGATGAATGCCGTCTCTCTTAATCAGACCAGGTTTTCCCCAGAAGGCTGTCCAATTATTTACGAAGCCCACATTGTTTGCTGGGCACCACCAAGACAACCAGGGCTGAAATGATGACATGCGGCTATACATGTCATCATTGATCAGATTGATAACAAATGAGGAGGTTTTTCCAACAATGATTCTTTTATTTAAAGATGTATTTGGGCAACCAGTGCCTTTATTGTGGAGACAGAATTGAAACGGAGAGACAGAGAGGTCAACATGCGGCACATGATCCCAGGCTGGATTCAAACCTAGGTCCTCTGCTTGGGACCCGAGCCCCAGTACATGGGCCGCCAGCTCATCCAATTTCTTCAGAAATGTTTTTAGAGATTTGGCGGTTTCAATGCCACAAACAAACTCCACAATTGCTAATATGAAGTGTTCCTGTCCCCTGGTTTCCGTGCTCTCTTTGCTGGTGTTAATATTTAGTCAATATTGTTAACAAACGTCAGACCACTGTAAAGCTTCCAGTGGACTGATCCGCTGATCACCTCACCTCCATTTCAGAATCTCGCAAGTTTACCTTTGAATCCCATCATATCTACTTTTTATTCAGATATTCTTTCTTTAAACATTTGAATCAGGATGTTCAGACAGTATTTGAAGTGGAGGTTATACCTGGCTGCCACTGTCGTGTTCTGCTTCTCAGCCAACAAAGGCGATTTGACATTGATCAGTGGTGGGTGTTTTAGCCTTCAGTTACTTACAAATGTTTGGATGTTTTTGATTCAATAAGTGAGTTGTGTACTTGGCCAATGCTGCAGCTTTTGTAGAACTTCATGGTCACACATGTCCTGAACACGCAGCTATTGCTTGAACAAAAGAATAATCAAAGCAGAGTGTGTCCTCCTGTGCTTCAATTACTATAGTTAAAGTGGGTAGTGGCTGTGAAAGCCTGTTTTTTTTATCTGCCAATGTAATCTTAAGACCGGTCACAGTACTGCAAGCTGAAGGTGAAAATGCACAGAAGTATGTTATCATCACCTCTAGTCACTTTAACACCGGGTGCTGCTACACTGTGTACCTGAGACAGTCGGCTCATCATGTTCCTGTTCATTTCTCTCTTCAGTCTCTCGCCTTCTCACCTCTTTTCTCCCTCTCTTGACATTTGTCTTTCAGTTGTTCTCTGCACATCTCTAAATCATATGTTCCTATCTCATCCCTGCCTGCTCGGTCTTGCCTTTGTCTTTATTATATTCATTAAAATTAACACCCTTGCCCTTGTTTTGTAACTACATATTCTACTCAAGCCAATTCCCTTTTTCCAAATGTGTCACCTTACCCTTTTTTTTGACTTGGACTAGTCTAGTGTCAGTGTCATTGGGCCTTAAAATGTATTTCTACTTCCTTAATTATTCTGTTGATTCAACAGAATAATTAAGGAAGTAGAAATACATTTTAAGGCCCAATGACACTGACACTAGACTAGTCCAAGTCAAAAAAAAGGGTAAGGTGACACATTTGNGGTTGCTGATGGCAGAACTGGTCACTTCAGTTAGAAACTTCATTTAAATACAAATGAGTTACTTCACAGGGGGAAACTTCATCTTCACAAAATATTTCGCCTGATTAAAGTTCAAAACAAACACACTTTTTATAGAGTGTAATCATTGCAACATTCAGAATATGTTTAGTTCCTATTCATGAAACTACTAATAAAGGCAGCGCTAAAAGAATGCAAATGAGAGAAAACGTTCCTCTAATCAAGCATTTGAATGGAGCATTTAGAGGGTAATTATTGTCATATTGAAGGGAACTGCTGACTGTGAAAAAATAACAAAGGAAAGAAAACTTTGCAGTGAACAATCAAACCATTTTATCACCATAAGGATTGGTACTTAACCCTTCTCTTGCGTTAGGTCATACGCCCCTTCCCATACTATTTTCGGTCAAAATTGACCGGTGTGTTTTGCACAGTGATATCTCTGGAACCCCTTATCCAATTTGTATGGTTGACATCTCATTTGAACAGTCAAAGCAAGTAGAATCAAGGGGTGACAGATGGAATGAAACAAGGGGTCAATTTCAGGTTATAATTTTGCAGTAAGTTCAAAGATAGAGCTTACTGTACATTAGTGTATATTATAATAATGCTTCATTTCCTATGGCGGTCAATTCTGACCGAAAACATCATGGGTGTTTCACTGTTGAATAAATCACAAACAAATCAATGCAAGTGGTGATCATCAATTGTATATGTTCAGAGGCCTAGTGTGGAGGATAACATAAGGCCTTGAGGCAGTTGGATGAAAAACACAATATTTATGATCAAAAACAAAGTCACTGTCACTTTTGACCCGAAACACAAGAGGGTTAATTGGGCTGTCTTTTGAGAAATGATAATGAAGGAATTCCATTATATTCTTCTAACCCCCTATGAATTTCATTTATATTTATCAATCCTAAATTATAATCACAAAGACATTGAGGAAGAAACATATTGCATTCCGTATTAAAGGGGCCCAACTATGCTCATTTTCCGGTTCATATTCGTTTGTTGTGTTTTTACTGTTTGAATGCTTCAATGTTAAAAAAATATTCAATTTTTCTCATACTGCCCGCTTGGAGATGTCCCGCCCCTTAGCCTATCACGTACAGTGTGTTGGGGCGCTATCTAATAGAAGCGCAAGTGTTACTTATTGATGTCACTATGTTACGAAAGTAAACAAGGGAGTCCAATGGAGGTGTTTCAGGCAGGGGGGGGGTGGGGGGTCGGGGTGGAGTGTGTGGGAGAGTAACTCCCTCTGAAGGGAACACAGGGATTCTTAGCCCTTGCAGATAAAAAAACCTATATATAGGTATATAAATATACCTATGTGAAAAAACACCACAGGAAAGGGAAACCCTAAAACAGAATAATAGGACCCCTTTAAGTACGGTATTTATTACCAAAATAAGGAAATAGAAGAATTCCTTTCCAGAAACAGATAAAAGCCATTCATGAGTAATTCAACACCAGCTTGATTTCTATTCACTTGAGTGCAAACATTAAAAAAACAAAAAGGAGATTTTTGGTGGATAAATTCCAGAAAATATCTGCAAAACAATTAATGACAAAGACGATTTTGTTTTACAAAATCCACTCCTACCAAGTGTCCTCTCATAAGCCTGATTAACTAGTTTTAAAGTTTATTTGTAGGCATTCAAAGCACTTTGCAAACGCAAACGCATACGAAACGCAAACGAAACGAATAAGATATCAAAAAAGTCTTCCGTTCATACGAGACCGCTCGGGAGCGCTGGAGAAGCTGTAGTACATATGCCGGGTCTGTAAGTGGCGCTGTACTTTTGCCACAAAATACACCAAAAGCAGCGAAGAAGACCCATGGTTGCCCTTCTGTTTATGCCCCGCGGTGGATTTACCAACATGTAGTTCATGTAATTCTCCATGACCACTTGTTGCTGATGGTTGTGGTAGAGGAGCTGTAGATTTTGTAGCATGGTCAGTAGCAGTAGCTACTGACCATGCTACAGCAGTGAGCAGCAGAGGTATGCAA